GGAGTAACGGGGGGGGGGAGGGGGCGGCAGGGTAAGGGCTACCTGTCTCCTTTTTTCCTTCAGAAAAGTGGTTAGACACAAGGAGCCTCTAGCAGCCTGTCTGAAGTCTGCAGGGCAATCACAAACAACCCAGAGCCTGCACCTAATTCCAAACTGGCGTCTGAACCAGGAAAGGTTTGAGATGTTCCCCCTTCAACCTGACCCGTAGCAGAATAGAGACTCCGGGGAGGGCTTCTGGCCTCATCCTAGGCCCCAAAAGTCAGTCCCCACAGCATATCCTTGCCCCCACCGCCTGCCTCTGGCTCTGGTCGCTTACGGGTAGTTCGCATCCAGTCGAGCAGCGCTGGGAGGTCTGCCGGGGCCACGGTACGAAGCAGTTGCAGCACCGCTCGCCGCGCGGAGCGGAATTCCATGTCGCAGCAGAAAGCAGCGCTGGGGTGGCCGCATTGCGCACGCGCGGACAGAGACCAGTAGCGACGCGACGTCACGTCGGACCCAGCGCGGAACACGCCTACCTAGGCTGCGAAAGCCCTAAGCCCCGCCCCCGCCTTGGAGTTGTGCGACGCGCGGGGAATCCCTACACTTAAGCGCACCCTTAATTCTCACCATTCCCCTTAGCTGGCAGTGCTCAGCTTAGTCACCTTTTCTTACGCAGGCTCCTCGAGGCCGAACTTCTTTCCTGATGTCGCCTCCTATCTTAACAACTTTGCTGCCGCACTTGTTGAGCGACAGAAAACGAACGTCAAAAGTCGGTGGGAGCAAAGAAACTTTTCAACATACGCTTCCGATAAACGCACTGAAGGAAAGCTGCGGGTGCCCCGGAAGCGGAAGTGCATCTCCTTGTGAAAGGCTGGACTTTGCGGAGTGGTGACGTTTCCTCATTGGGCGGAAGGTTCGGTGGCTGTCGTCGGTCTTCCAGCTGGTGGGAGTTGGCGTCGCAGTGCTGTGTACCGGGACCCTCGTTTATATTCTTTGGAAAGTCGGTCTGTGGCGTCACACCTGTCTGTCTGATCCCGGCTTTCCTCTGATTAATCCCACGGCGTGGGGCCTCGCGAAGGAATTCCTGGCCCCTTCGGGCCACGGCCGTAGCGGTGCCTTTTGCGGTAAGTGTCTGCCTTTTCCCGCCCCAGACCGGCAGCTGGCGGCAACCCCAGTCCTGCTTAGGGGGCTTAGAGGCTCCGGAGAGAGTCGACTTGCCTGGCCACCTGCTGTCCTCACCGACACTGCGGTGCCCTGGTCCTTTTTCACCTCATGTCCCCCTATCAGAAGTTTTATTAAAAGATACGCTGTGACCCTTTTAAGTTGACTTCAGATTTACCCGAGCCAAATCACTTGTGTAGGCTATTGCGGGCCTGTCTCTTTGATTTGCTCTCCTGATCAAGAATTTAGATATGACCGCTTCCCAGAAAACCTTTTGACGTGTACCGAATTTTCTATTTTCATGTTCGTTGTACTTAACCACATTGTCCTGCATATAGCAGGCGTTCAATAAGTGAATAAGGAATATCAGTTCAGTGTCAGTGATGACTTAAGATGTACTGATGGCTCGCTGTAGCATTTGACACTACTACCCATCCATTTGGCTTGAAACTCTTTCCCCTATTGGCTTTCTTGATGCTGTTCTCACCCAGTTTTTTCATATGCTTAATTCAACAAAATAGTCACCNTTTGGCTTGAAACTCTTTCCCCTATTGGCTTTCTTGATGCTGTTCTCACCGTTTTTTCATATGCTTAATTCAACAAAATAGTCACTCATTCTTAGCTCTAGGGATACAGAAATGAAAGACACAAACCCTGTCATTGAAGAGCTAGCAGTACAGTAAAAGAGAAGCACATAAATATACTCTGTATCTAGATGAGCAATGAGAAACTCTAGTAAGGTATAAAGAGCCACGGAGCTGTGGGAATACAGATGAGATCTACAGGTGATTTGTGACCCTAACTGAGCAAGGTTGCACTTCTAATCTAGCCTCAGCTCCCTCATTACCTAATAAGTTGTTAAGATGATGAAAGATAAGAGGATGTTGATAGTGAAGGAAGTTGTACATGTGTGGGGACAGGGGATATATGGAAACCCTATGTACTTTCTGCTCAATTTGGCTGCGAACCTAAAACTGCTCTAAAAGGAAAGTCTATTAATTAAAATTTTAAAAAGAAAGATACCAGGATTTAAAGATTAAGTAACACTTTTGGTGCAATGCCTACAGTATAGCAGTGGCGCTCCTAAAGGGGAGGTGAAATATTTCCCTGAACCCTCTTTCCCTTGATTTTTTTGATAAGGACAATTAGTATTTTCTGACTTAATGTAGTACTATGCAAAAGCATCTTCAAGCTCTCCTTCACACAAATTACTCCTCTAACTCCAGCTGTCTGGAAATTCTTGACCTGTCACTGGAATAGAGTAAGATAACCATAAATAGTAGATTTTTTATTCTTTAAATTGATTTCTTTCTGTATACCTTTGGGGAGGGAAAGGTAATTAGTAAAAGCTTCTATCCCTTTGATTATTCTCAGTCTCAGCTCTCTTTTTAGTTGGCCCTTCGTCATTGCTATATAACCCAAATGGCCTTCCGCAAACTCTCCTGGAGAGTTCTCATCTCCAACCATGGCTTCTGTGGCATTATCCTTTGTATGCCAACCATTTCCAAATATTTTTCTCTAATTTCTATTTCTAAGTGATACAGTTCTTTAGTTCTGCAAATAACATAGGTCCAAAACCAAATTCCTTATCTCTACCTTCCTTTTTTCTTTTTTCATTATTACCCATGTTTTAAATACAAAAGCGTATAAAAGCAATGATTTCTAGTGTGTTTTTGAGTTTTGAACCCTTGTTTCTAGTTGAATTTTGTATGATGTTTGTATGTTTAATTTAAAAAGGATAATAAAGTCAACACCTATGTATTCAATATCCAGCTTAAGTAGTAGAACATTACAAATAGCCTTTAAACTCTTTGAACATTTTCTCTGGTAACTCTATAACTTTCAAAACAGCTTCTTCTCTTTTTGTCTTCCACTCATTGGTTTATGGCATCACTTGCCATCTGGTTTTTCAAACTGGAGACCTTAGAGTCATTTTTGCCTTTTATTTCTCCTTCATTTTCCATAACCATTTGGTCATTAGGTCTATAGATTCTGCTTTACGAATTGGCTCTTGGCTCCAGCCTTTCTCTCCATTTTACCTTCTGCTTCCCTAGTTCAAGCCCCATCTCGCCACCAGACTTTTGGAGTATTGTTAGTGTATGTACTCTCCTTGCTCTCAGGTTTTTCTCGCTCTAATGTATTTGCTACATTGTCTCTAATTTTTAAATCACAGATTTTTTTCATTCTCTTGTTTCCTTTGAGTGATCATTAACCTTGGCTGCATATCAGTATAACCAGTGAAGTTTTTAAAAATATAGGTGCCTTGTTTTATTCTTCTAATAAAATATTTAGATGAGGCCACTTCGTAGAAATCTTCTGGTGTTACTTTCCTTGGAGATTCTGATTGAGTAATTTTTAGCTGGTAAGTGTTATCTAAAATGTCACTGAAATAATCCATTGCTTATCCCTCCTCCTCTATATGTTCTTTTCAACTTCAAGGCAAACTGTTTCCAAGGAATTCTTTTGACTTTGTTTTAATTTTTTTCTTGCTAAAGTTTGTTTTTCTTGCTAAAGTTTCTTGCATAAGATTGTTTAATGATTGACCTGATAGCCAAAAGTAACATAAAGAAATGATTCCCATTGTTTTTGAGTTATTACCCCTCATTGCTAATTGCATTTTTGGTGTGCCTTTTCTGCTATTAAACTATAAAGTGTTGCAGTGATTTTATTTTTAATATTAAAATGAGTTTTAAAACTTGAAAACAATTTTAATGAAATAAGAGTTTTCTGAGGTGCAAAATTAAGACAATGAAGTTATTGGTGGTGTGATTCATAATTTATCTTTTGAAGTTAACAGTGGAGTCTTATCTGTTAAGTTGATGTAATTTGTGGACTTGGAGTTAGAACTTTTCTCATGCTGGGACAATTCCTGGAGCAAATAGGAGGTACTTAATGAGTGAATAACTAAATGAATACAAGTGGCAACTCCATCTGAACTCCTAATATATCACTGTAGTTCTTACAAGAAGCACTTTGAAAAATAATTAATTTTCCCCTTGACTTAGAAATAATACCTACTCATTGCCAAAAATTTGGAAATTACAAAAACATTTTATATATATATATATATATATATATATATATATTACTAGTAAATACCATCCAGAGATGACAAATTCTATTTTCTAACAGTTTTACTGAAATAAAATTTACATACCATGCAGTTCACCTAAAGTGTACAATTTAGTGGTTTTTAGTTTATTTACAGAGTTGTGCAACCATCACCAGAATCAGTTTTAGAACATTTTTATCACTCCATGAAGAAACCTCATCACCATTAATAATCACTCCTCATTTTCCCCAAACTCCTAAGCCCTAAGCAACTATTAATCCACTTTCCATTTCTTTAAATTTGCTTCTTCTGGATATTTCATATAAATGGAATCGTATAGTGTGTGCTCTTATTGTCACTGTCATTTTTTCATTTAGCATAATGTTTTCAAGATTCATCTATGTTGTAGCATGTATCAGTACTTCATTTCTTTTTATTATCAAGTAATACTCCATTTTATGGATAATACCAGATTTTATTTATCTGCTCATTGGTTGAGGGATATTTGGGTGGTTTCAACTCTTTGGCTAGCATAAATAATGCTGCTAATGACCATTCATGCACACATTTTTGTGTGGATATGTGTCTTACTTTCTCTTGAATGTACTTAGGAGTAGAATTACTGGGTCATATAGTAACTATGTTTAACATTTTGAGGAACTGCCACTGTTTTTCAAAGGGCTGCACCATTTTGCATTCCCACCAGCTGTGTATGCGGGTTTTCCACATTCTCACCAACACTTGTTATTATCTTGTCTTTTTTATTATAGCCATCTTAGTGTGTGTGAAGTGGTATCTGATTGTGCCTTTGTTTCCATTTTCCTGTTGGCTATTGTCATTTTCTGAATATTTGTTTGTAGACAAAATGTGGATTATATAATATATGCAGTTTTATATTCTGCCTTTGGGGTTTAAGCATATTTTTATCATTAGCAAGCATATTTACAGAAGAATTTTCCTCATTTCTGCTTCCCTCTTCACTCCCCCCAAAACCGTAATTCTTGAGAAAACTTGCCTAAATTATAAGCATAGAAAATAAAATGTATAGGAATGTATACCAAATTAATATTGGTGGTTATCAGGGGACAAGAGAGATTAGGTTTAGGGAAATTTAATTTTCTACCTTTAATATTTCTGTAATGTTTGAATTTTTACAATGAACATGTATCCTCTTGTAATCACAAAACATAAAGGTCAGTTATTTCCTTGGAGGACTAAATAGAATCAGAATGAAAAAGTAT